GTTTTGCTCTGCAAAAGGCATTGTCAAGAGAATAAAAAGACCTGCCACAGACTGGGAGAAAATATTTGCAAAACACATATCTAATAAAGGAGTTTTATCCAAAAGATTAAGAATCTCTTAGCTCTTAATAATAAGAAACAAACAGCTTGATTTAAAAAATGGGCCAAAGACTTTAAAAGACACTCTACCAAAAAAGATGTACAAAAGGCAGATAAGCACATGAAAAGATGTTTCATGACATTTATCATTGGAAAATACAAATTAAAATAAAAGTATAATACTATTACACATCTATGTGAAGGGACAAACTTTAGAAAACTGAAAACACCAAGTGCTGGTGAGGATGTGGAATAATAGGAAGTCTCATTCATTGCTGGTGGGGATGTAAAGTGATGCAGCTACTTTGGAAGATAGTTTGGCAGTTTGTTACCAAACTAAACATAATTTTACCATATGATCCAGCAATCACGCCTTATGGCATTTCCACAAAAGATTTGAAAACATACGCCCATGCAAAAATGTGCATACACATGTTTATAGCAGCTTTATTCATAATTGCCCAAACTTGGAAGCAACTAAAATGTTCTAGTTGGTAAATGGATAAACTGGTACATTGGACAATGAAATATTTAGCAATAAAAAATGAGAAGCTAAAATTGCAATTGAAGCTAAATGTAATCAATTAAAATTATGAAATGTTTATGTAAAAATTATATAAGGAAACTGGGACATTATGATGGATAATGACTTAAGAAAAATGGGTCCCCAAAATCTCATTATGCATTTTCATTCATATCAGAGTCACGTTCAATACATGTATACCAAGTGATATCTTTCTCAAATCACCAATGTTATTAAAAGACAGAAAGAAAAAGAAAAGTTGATGCTGACATTTCTGTTTCATGGACCATACTTTGAGTAGCAAGGATGTAAACCGTCATCTCACTGAGAACAGGGTTCTTTTTGTTTCAGTCACTTGGATATATACATAGCACCTATGACAAGTCCTGGTACATACTGAGTGCTTATCATGTGTTTGTTGAATAAATTTCCTTTTTCACCAGTCTGATTAAGGCTTTTTGTTTGTGTTTTCCCTAAAATATATGTATTGATATGATACATCTTTCCCAGCCTTTATAATAGTATACTGAAGTAGAGTTTTGCTTGTTTGTTCTTTCTTTCCTTTCATTAACAATAAATTGCTTAAGGGTGGGGTCTATATAATTTTCTACATGTTTCTCAGTATGTACAATAGTGCTTAGAATGTAAAAGACACTTAGAAAATGTATCTTAAGTAAATAAATGATTTGGAAATGCAAAGCCTGGTTTTTATTCCCTAAAGTTGTAATTGATCTTCCATTGACCTACATCTCTCTAACCCCAAGCATGGAGTCACATATTTTCAGGACAGTTGAAGAAGAGATACATACTAGTCACGAAAGAGGAATGGGTGTCTGGGAGGGTACATCCTGGAGCGGAAATTCACAGGCAGCATCATCCTTAGATCAGACACAGGAACTCAAAAGACTTGGCAAATGAGGAAATGTCTCCACAGAAGCAGACTCAATACATCAGCAGTTGTTATTTTGAACTGATGCTTTTCGTCATGAAGGACAGCTGCTCTGTTAGGTCATAATTTTTTTGGCCACCTTTAAGGACATTGTACCATCCCAGATCTGGCTCTGGATCTAGATTCTGGCAAGTCTGACTTCTTAAAGTGGATTAAGTAGTTCCCAAAGAGAGACTCGTGTCCTGGCTGCATTCCTGATTCTTACATCTAAAAGCCCTGATGATATTTCTCTGAGGACATCCACCACTTGAGTTCCTCTTTGCATTTGAGTCTAGCCTCCTGAACTTAGCCTTGGGCACTATTTTATATACTTCATTGCCTATGCCTGCCTTGCTACAACCACAAGTTTTTGGTAATCATCACTTTAAGTATATCTGGTGGGTAAGACATAAATTAACCTGCAGCCAATGTCTAAAATCAATAATTGCGAAAACCAAAATGAATAAATGACTCTTTTAAAAAAATACTTAAGTAATTATATGTAATTCCCCCTTATTCATTACTTAAGATTGCTTAAATTCATAACCCTTCCGTATAAAAGTGGGCTTATGTTGAAAGACTGTCTTAAGCTTTTTCCAGAAAAGCAGAAAGAGTTCTTACATCAATCAGATGACAAAGCTGGCGTGCAGGCCCTCCTGGTTTGTTCAGTCTGAAATTCATGGCTTTTTCAATCTCACAGAAGGTCGGTAGACAGTTATTGTTTTAATCGAGAACAAAAAAAGAGAAGTATTGATATAAATTTGAAGGTTCATTTCCATATCTTGTGTAAGAAAATAGGAGATGGTCTGGAATTTTGCCTAGAGAGAGGTGGACAATAATTAGGAAATACTCTTACTTATTCTATTAATTATTAGATTTTCATATTTTACTGTTTAATACTCTTGCATGGTAGAATATGGAAAGAAGTGAGAAAGTGGCCATTTATCTACATAGATAGATATATAGTTATGTTTAAATATAGTTATAGATATGTAACTATATCCATGAATATATAAACTAGATAGTAAATATAGATATTTAGATGTACATAGATAGATATTTTAAACCGACATAGAAAATTTTTATAATACTAGAATAAGATATTTTGATGGGCAAGCAACCTAGCTGTCTCTACAAGGAACACTATCTTGTCTGGTTTATATGATAACTTCACTTGTTTTTGGACAACTTCTAGTCTTTCATTTTGATTCCATTTTTAAGTGGAAGGGGTATGAATTTAAAAATGACTTTCGAAACATGCTGAAATATTTCCTTCATAGAACTCATCACCAGGGGAGAAGGAATCAGCCCTTCGCCACCCTCCCTCTCCATCCCTCACCCACATCCCCCAACCCCTCGCCAGGAGGCCCCCGGGGGCGAGGGATAGCTACCCTCTGTTTTCAGTGAGAAGTCTCAAGAAACCATTCAGGGCGACAATGAAATCCCTTGACCCCTCTTCTTTATGAGATTTCCATCTGCACCATCTGAAAACAATTCTCTGAGACTCTCCCAGTCTCCCCATTCCCTGCTTCCAACCCGAGTCCTGAGAAGTTAGAATTGGAAATGAGCCTAGAGAATCACGCCCTCTTTCCTGGAGGAGGGAAGCAGGCGTGGCAGGCCTCGACCCGCATCCGTCACGGACCGGGACATCGCCACGGCGCTGGTCTAGAGCCTGGGCTGGACCCCAGTTCCTCAGACCCCCATTCCCTGAGCACCCCTACACCCATCCTGCTCGCAAGAGCACTGTCCCCAGCACCCGCCCCAGCACCACTTTCCTCTGACGTCCGCTCCCGAGCTCTGACGATCGCCCCCACCTGCCGCCCTTATAAAGGGGACTTTTGCCAATACTGGGATTGATCTCCACCTCGCCCCGAACCCTCAGCGGGCGCTCACATCTGTCAACTCCGAGCGCGCCCGGATTGGCGAAGAAGCTGAGCGAGGAGGCGCCGGGATCCCGACGGGCGCCTGGCCCTGCTCCCGCCCCTCTGCACCCCTGCCCACTCTCTCCCAACGCACCCTGCACACGCCACACGGCACCCTTGCGGCCCCCCGCCACCTTGGTCCCGGGGGCGGCGGTCCCGGGAGCAGCCCAACCCGGCGGAGCGCTTCCCCGCGCAGCGACCACCGCAGGTAGGCGCAGAGCCGGCATTCCGGGTGCTTCGGGGCCGCTCCCTCGGGACGCGGTGGGAGCGGAGCAGGGCGTTTTCAGAGAGGAGGGACGTGGTTCTTGCCTCTCCGTGCGGACACGCGGGTGGTCCACTGTCAGCACTCCTGGTCTTCCGCTGCGAGCGGCTCGGAAGTCTGGTCGCAGGAGAGACAAGGTCCGGGTGAAGGAGATGGGGCAGAAGGGGCCCGGGAGGGACAGCGGAGTCCGGGTAGCAGCCAGCCTTGGCCAGAGAAAGAACTCTGGTTGCTCACACAAAGGCGGAGCCCATCAAGGCCACCGACGATTCTTTTGCTTCCCTCAGAATCCGAGGGAGGCTAGTTCTTTCGCCCAAGTTCTCATTACCCATATGCGTGCACAAATATCTGAATTTTCCCCCAGAAACGTGTTTGTATGAACTGGGGTGCCTGAAATAGCCGTGGTCACGACGGGGGAAAAATAACAAAGAACAAGAATTCCAGGAAGTTAAGGAGTTAGAACTTAGCATCTCTCTTCTAAGAATTTTATTTTTTAATACCTTTGACTCTCTGTTATGTTTTCAAGTATTTATGTATTTTTAAATCGTTTTCTCGTACATACCATTGAAGAGGCGGGGAAGAGACGAAAGGAAGGAAGGAAAATGGATGGGGAGAAGAGTTAATCAAGAAGGTGAACCGATTAAACAACAGAACATCTTTAGTTGGTACAGAAACTTGAACCACAGGCACTTGTTGAAAATTGGAGCTGATGTGCTTTTGAAATTGATTTTCCTAAAGTTTTTTTTCTAGATATTTACATGTCACATTACTTTTGGAACCATTCCCTGAAAGCGTTTGAAAGAAGAGATAGAAGAATGCTTAAATGAACGAATATGTTAAAATTGTCAATATGATACAGTTACTTTACTGAATAATTCTAAATCAAATAGTAAGTTAGTTCCAAAAGCAAATAAAGACATACTCTTTGTATGTCTTAACTAGGTAATTCCTTGATGGAGTTACCTAGTTAAGATACAAGACAAGGTTAATTTTATATTGAAAGAATTTATTAAACACAAAATGATTGTGATTACACTTGTTAAAAAGCTTTTTCTTTTTCTTTTTATTTGTTTCATGAATGCTCAAAACAATGTTACATTATTAAATAGAATAATAAAATGAACACTTGTTGGTAACTGCTAGTATAAAATGAGATTTCAATGTACATTTTCTTTAAGTGGCACAGGATCTCTCATGAGCCAGCTGGTTTATTCCTGGCTGCCTATGTATGGTTGGCTAGTTTATAATGCATTGCTGTATTTTCAGAAATCTTAATGAAGTAGCCATCTGTGGAAGATTCCAGATCCCTAGATAAAAATGGCTTTTCATGTGGAAGGACTGATAGCTATTATCGTGTTCTACCTTCTAATATTGCTGGTTGGAATATGGGCTGCCTGGAAAACCAAAAATAGTGGCAGCACAGAAGAGCGCAGTGAGGCCATAATAGTTGGTGGCCGAGACATTGGTCTGCTGGTGGGTGGATTTACCATGACAGGTAGGTTCAGCTGCCCACTCCTCCTTATCTTTTCAGAGTAACAAAACAAATGTTACTCTTTGTCTTTTAAGGATTTTTATGTTCATTACTTTTGTATATTTTAAATAATTTTACATTTATTTAAAACAAAAGTAAAATGGTTCAACTCAGTAGTATTTGAACAAATGATTTTATAATGAACCACTGGACAGAGTATCAGTGAAACAAATCCGAGCTATCTGGGCTATTTAGTGGGTGAAAACAGTAGCAACAAAGAGGTAGAGAAAAGTACGAAAGTGTCTTAGTCTTACAAGTTATGTATCTGTTAATTAAGGTGATTAATTCGATGTCTCATCTTGTTTGTTAATGCAGACATGAAGTTGTGACTTTGAGTTGTCTCAAATGGTAAATATGATGAATACTAATTAGTGATGGTTTTAAACAATAAATCGATTTTGGGGCAACACAATTCCAAATTGATTGATGCCCTGTTTTTAAACCTAATTCTCCCATTTAATAAACTAATTTCCTTACAAAAAGACAATCACATGTTAAGAATCTACAGCACTGAAAGAAAAAATTTCCAGGAAACTTGATATAAAAAGAAAAAGATCTAGGTGTGTCCTAACAGGAATCTTTCTGCCACCATCTGCAGCTCTATTCCATTTGAACCTTCTCTGTGCTAGGAGGAACAGATATTCTCTCCTTTGCTCAGAAGTGGTTCTAGCTAAGCAGTGAGTTGTTTCTCTTTTATATTCTTTTGGATCATGGAAAATATTTCAGAAAAACAACAATTTAAAATCACATCCTTAATATTATTTGATATATATTTATTAACAATACACTGCTCGTTAGGGAATCTTATTAGGTTTTTAAACATCAGCAGGATAACTCATACAAACAGGAACTCTGAATGCTCATTGGAAAGTATCCCATTAGAAATCATATCCAAATGATGCCCAGTTTCAGTCCTGAAGTGCTATTTAAAATGATTCACTCCCTATATGAAACACTTTATCAAACCAATCTGTGAAAACTGTATCCCTATTTGGCCATCTGAAACCTATAATATTCTAGAATAATTTGTGGACTGCAGATTTTATCTTTCAGATATTCATATTTTGTGTTTTTAACTCTTGGTCAACTGTACATGGCTCTATTTGGTTTCTACAGAGATCTTTATATTTGCACTTTGAAAGGGGTCTGAGATTAAGTGAGAACACAGAGCTACACAGGCTAACAAAGACCAGAGGCAGAGCCAAGTACAGGTCTTCCAGCAGCCACGCCCAGGGCCTCTCCACAAAGTACCCCATGCAGCCCTCTAGCTGGTTTCTTTCTTTTTTTTGTTTTTTTCTTTTTTTTATCATAAAGGTGCACAGTTGTAAAAAGGTCTTTTTTTATACCCTCTTTCTCTTTTTTTACATACATATATAGAACAAATTGTATTATGCAAAATGTTTTCTATGATGCCTAATATACAAAATTAGATAAATACAAAAACACAAAGAGTAAGAATCATCCATAAACATACCACCTGCAGATAAATTTACTGAAATATTGGCATAGATTTTCTGATTTTTTTTCTCTTATTGTCTACCTATTGACGAACATTGTGCACAACTTTATATCTTCATTTTCATTTTTTATTATAGCATGTCTTCTTTTCCCTAAGATTCAAATCTGGTTCTGGTATCTGATGTGGATTAAAACATTGTGATTAGATTTCTCTCATATTTCTTTTATGACAAAGAAAATGAGGAAAGAAAAGCCACATAAAACAACAAAGGTGGTTGATTTCACTAAAAAATATTGAAAAGAATAAATGAGCTGTTTTATGCAAAAGTATTTTGTTCATTATAAATTGTTATGTTCTATTACTCTAGTTTAACATTTTATTTATTATGTCCATAAAGACAATATTTCAGAATTTGTTCTTTTTATCATTTAGAGTGATTTTTTCAATCTAATAGTTTGTTAAATTATATAGAAAAAATTGAATTATAATGTTTCTTATAAAATGTAATATTCTAGCTCACTTTTTAAACTTTTTTTTCCTCTCACAACTGAAAAGAACCTTGGTCAATATCATAATTCATTTAAAGTCTGAACCATTTTATCTAAACCTTGTCAGAGTCATAGCATATAATTGATAAAGATTAAAGATTGAAAATAAAAATGTGCATAGTTTAAAAGTTCTTGTTCTCACTTATGAATCTGACCTGAAATATACAAACATGCGGAGCAAATTCTGACGTAGAAGAGACTAGCTAGATTAAAATGGAGGGATTTTCATCATAACAAGTTAACTAAGTCTTCACTTCTATATAATATTTGTGATAATTCAGGAACCATTTTTCTTTTTGGACAATGGAAACAAAGACCTACATAGTGAAAAATGATCACTAATGGGCTTTGTGCTTGTAAGACCATCAGATCATTTACCTAATGCAATGAAACATCATTGGTGTGTTTTCAGCAGTTCCAGTTCCTTAGCAGAAATATGGAAGATAAAGTCTCAGTGACTGTGAGAATTCATTTCTTCAGGTCCTAGTTACACACTGTGTGAGGTGAGGAGGGGAAGCCCTTTTTCAGCAGGGTTTAAAATGAAAAAAAAAAAATAGCATTTGTTATTTGTTCACATTCATGTAAAAGCTACAATGAAAATGAGAGTGGTTGCTAAATACATATTTGTCCACGTTAACATTTTGTATAAACTTTCCATTTAAATATACTTAAAATTCCTTTGCAGGGAGGTCTTTCTGTGATAACCTTTGAAAAATAGTATTAACTTCAAAACATTTTCTCTTCTTTGCTTTGTATTTGGATTAATAGCCAGATAGATTTTGGCATGAATACAACAGAAATACTTGCCTCTTATAGTTTCATATATATAATTTAAAATTTTTTATTTACATTCTAACTGTGAGATTTTAGAGAATTTTTCAGAGCCAAATTGAACAATACAGCTTAGAATTCAGTCTCATATCTGATAAGCTTCTTTCCAGCATATGTCCCTCATAATTTTACACAAATTCTACATAGGAATTATTTTAAATATTTTGACTATACTATTAAAAGGATATATACTGCAGAGTGTTTCATTAACTTTAGTTTTTCAGCAAGTATCAAATATTATATTGTCTTCTCAGAGAAATAGTACAGTTTGTAGTTCATTCCCAAACTTGTTTAAGCAAAGTGTGGTATTTTTTTGTTCCTTCACCTTTCTCTTCAGTTATTATGCTACAGAAATTCCATGAAATATTAACTAAACAAATGTTTCTTATTATTCTCTATGAAATGTGAAATATCTTACTAAAATACCCAGATGAGAACAAATATTTGATCTCTTGATTAAATATGGAGTCAACAATTTAAATTCTTTTGAATGCTAATCTGTGCCCTAAGTGTAGAAGAGCAGGAGTGGGGTGAGGAAGAGGGAAAAGGTCATTTGAACTCACTTTAGGACACCTTGGAATAAAAATGTTGTCTCTCTACTCCCTTTACTCCTTTAACAATTTAAGGTAGTAAGTACAACTTAGTTATGATTCAAAGTGACTCTCTAAAACACACACACACACACACACACACACACACACACACACACACCACTCCTTGAGGACAATAGTGTGAAAAGATCAATACAATTAAAAAAGAAAGACCTTGAAATAAAGACACTTGACCCATGTTGAGGAGGCTGGGGGGAAAAGTTGTAGTTTTATTGCCAATAGAAATAGCTATTAAATATATTATATAGGATCTCAGACTCTGTGATTTAATAATATAATTTAAAAGTGGCAATGATTAAATGGATTTAGAAAACATATGAGGCAACCCTGTCCAATAGAAATATAATATGAGACACAAATGTTACATTAAATTTTTTACAAACCACTTTAGAAAACATAGAAAAATAAATGAATTAATGTAGATAATAGGATGTATATAACTTAATATATTGAAAATGATTTATTTCACCATGTAGTCAAAAAATTATTGCGACATCTTACATTTAGTTTTCCATACTAAGTCTTTGAAAACCAATGTGTATTTTATACTCATGACACATCTATCTCATTCAGATTAGTCACATTTCAGGTACTCAATAGTCATATGAGGCCACTACCGCTGTGTTAGACTGAGCATATTTAGGGTATAACAGGTTTGAGAGTGTCTTTCCCTCACTTTTTATTCTATTTCAGCCACTTGGGTTGGAGGAGGTTACATCAATGGGACAGCTGAAGCAGTATATGTACCAGATTATGGTCTAGCTTGGGCACAAGCACCAATCGGATATTCTCTTAGTCTGATTTTAGGTAAGTAAAAGTTTTAACTTCAGTGAACCACTCAGTAAACCATAAAGAATAGAAATATAAATAATTATTGTGGGAAAATGTTACTATAAGTTTCTAATTAGATGTTACCAGAAGCTGGTAATGCTAATGCTTAGATTATTCGATCTCTTGATTATGGAATGTGGAAAAAAGAACACCTTGATATTATGGCTATCAGAACAGTGAATGCCTTAATGTAATGCTGTTTCTTTTTAAAATAGTGTGGATATATCATTAAAAATGAATCAACTTGAATTATATCTAAATTTCTTTTTGTAAGTCAAACTAATAAAAGGTCAAGAATATTATATAACATAGAATTTCTAACTTATTTTTGCATTTAAAATACTTTTATTAAAACTTGTGATTAAATCAAAATATAAGATTGCTTGCTATGCTGGGTGATACAAATACATCAAGGCATTTTATTGAGTTCTGTGCTGGTCCATGTTTTTCAATCCACATATCTCAGACAGCATTCAACTGTCCTTTAGATGCACACAATGATGAATGTATTAAGAAATTTGCATTTGGTTGCTAACTATTTCTTGGCTCTGTATTCACAGAATATTTTAGATTTGTTCCTCAACACATAAGCATTCCAAAAAAATTTATTTTCATTGAGAAATTATGGCAGAATACAAGGTTGGCAAAGACTTACTTTATGATTTTTTTATTTTTTTGTAACCACTTGTTCCATTTCTTTCAGGTGGTCTGTTCTTTGCAAAACCTATGCGTTCCAAGGGATATGTGACCATGTTAGACCCATTCCAGCAGATCTATGGGAAACGCATGGGTGGGCTTCTATTTATTCCTGCACTCATGGGAGAGATGTTCTGGGCTGCAGCTATTTTCTCTGCCTTAGGTAAGGACTGATAGAACGTTGCTCTGGCTGCATCTGTCTGGTTGGCTGAATGTCAGCTATACAACTTTACTTTCTTCAGCCACAGGTCAGGCCACGACCAGCCTCCATCACCCTGCTTCCAGTTCTGCCCCACTCCTGTAGTCTTCACACAGTAGCCAGTCTTCCTTCTACCATACAAATCTGATCACATCTCTTTCCTGCTTAAACTAAACTTTTTAACCCAGGCTCATAGGCTTCTCAAGACATAGCCTTTGATTATTTCCTCTCATCATTCCTCTCTCCTCCTTCTTTCTTCTAGAACTGTAATCCTCCTCTCTTGCCTCTGACACTTTGCAAGCCTAGGTGCTCTCTGCTTTGGACTCATCTCCCCTCTTTCTTTTTTCACTGCTTAGCTAACCAGGAAGTGTCTTTCCGATCTTATAGATATCACTTCCTCAAAGTAGTCATCCTGAAGTTGCTGGGTGCCTTTCCTATGTGCTTCCATAGGCATCAGGGGTTTTGTTTTATTGAACTTAACACTTTGTGTGATCATTTGCCTGTTTATCTAATTCATGCTCAATTTCCAACCTCACAAAAAAGATCATAAATTTCTTGAAGGTGGGACTTGTTTTATGTTAATGTTTGTAATCCAATCACGAATGAATAAACTATCTGTGACTATACTTTTTCAAAAACGAAAAAGAAAGTCTTATTTCCTTTCTCAGTATAATTGCATTACATCCTAAAGTATTGGATTGTAGACATGTTTAGGCATCTAGAAAATGAACTTAGGGTCTAACTTACTACCAAGATCAATTAATGCTAAGGATAACCTATCCTTGGCCCTTGGATTCTCAGTCCACTTACTAGATTTACAAAACAAGAGATTTCAGTGGAATCGTAGGAGAGCTTCAGGCTCAATACTCTACCTTTTGATCAAGAGGGAATCTAAATCATCCTTCTGAGTATTGAGGTCCTTCTTGAAAATCAACACAGTTGGAAGTTTTACAATCTTCTTTGGTGAGCCATGTCAATATTTGACTTCCAGGCATTCATGTACTATACTCTCCATCTGTTCTTACGAATGGAAATACAGGGCTTAAGTCTACAACCAGACTTTAAGTGGTCAAAACAAAAGTAAGATAAGATGAATTTGTTTCTGTGTTATATATTCTAGACTACAAATTTGTCTTCATGTTTCAGTAATATCATCACATCTGTCCTCTATAATATCATATTAGTTTATACTACCTTTCACTCCTTTCTCTCTCAAACTCCTATGCAATCCTCTTATTTTCATTAAAGGAATGACTTGTAGAAGAGAATTTGATAGTTGTTTGATACTGTAATAATTCAGTGAAAATTGATGCACTTTTCTTGTGATAAATAACAATATTTCACAACTAACACTGTATTTATGTTCTAATAAAATTATGTGTAAAAATAAACTTCCTATCCACCTTGCTCTCATTAGCTAAGAAGCAATGGTAGTTTATTTGTCATTGATTTCAACACCAGAAAATTTTGGTTTTAAGAAAAAACTGCCTGCTGATGTATCCAAAAGGAGTGGGCTGAATATCTAACAGAATACACAATACTTACTCTCATCAAATAAAGATCAATTTATGTATTAGGGCCTTGAAGAAAGATTGGAATTAATAAATTAATATTTCTAAAATATTTTGGAAATATAAAACATAATAGCTAAACTCTGAACTTTTTTGCAATCAGTTATTTTTTGTGTATATATATATGTATATATATGTGTGTATGTCTATGGCTGTCAACATTTATGTAAAATATATTAATCTACGTATATACCCGCACACACATCCAATGGCATATATGTAAATATTACTACTATTGCTTGAAATACGTACTCTGATAAAGAGAAAGTGTTTCTATTTTTAAATTAACACCTATATTAAAAAAAATAGTTGGATATACTTCTAACGTTTATTAGAAATAACTTGGGATACTTAAAAATAGACAAATATAAAATCTACTACCACCTTACTGTGAATGTGTGTAGTTCACCACTGAAACAAAGTTAAGAGAATCTTAAACTACCTCTTTGGTATAAATGGACAACAATCTTACAATTTTTGAAAATATATATAGCATTGACATTTGTGGCAGCTCAAATTCAGTGATTTTTTTTTTTGGTAACTTTACAGTATATTTACTTTTATGGCTGCTTGAGTAAACTAATATTTCACATCACATCTCAAAGCATAAAATTGATTTTATGCACTACAGATGATGGAATTTAGAAAATATTTTAGAGAAAAAATTTATCCCAATCTTAACAGTGATAAAAAGTAGGTGGTTTCTTTAAAACCACTGAGTTATAATGAAATGTCAACACCTACTAGTATCCCAAATATTTAGGACCCTAGTCCAATGATCTTTTTCTATAACATACAGACAGCATTGAAAAGAGATAGGATAATAATTAGACTTTTCATAATTTGTGGGATATAACTTAGAAATATTGTTATTAAAGTGGAAAACTAGACCAAAAGAAAAATGGCCAAGAGTTGCAACTAAAGTTTTAAATGTGAAAATTTCAGAAAAAAAATAATAACTTGTTAAATATTTATACAACAACTCAATTATCCAGTCGGTTATAAATAATTGAACTTTTGTCTTCATCCTCCAATATCTTACCAGGTTTTTCCTTCTATTAATTGGTTTTTATTCAAGAAAGTAATTTAATTTTGTTACCAAAGCCAAAAAACTATTTAAAAATCTTGAAAAATATTTTATATTATTATCTTAGGTCAGAATGTCTTATGTTTCTCTTTGATATATCAAATTTTTATCTCTGGAGGGTTGCATACACTTTTAGCACATAATTGAGGGGTAGTAGAATATAAAATTTCAATTAATAATACCCAAAATTCATTTTTTTGCATGTATGTTAGCATTGCTGTAATTGCTGTTTTTAAATAATATGAACTATAAACTTTATAGTTTTTAAGAATGATAGGAAAAGGGTTTCTAAAGCAAAAAGTGAATTCTGAACTGGCAGTCCAAGAACCACAGTGGTCCAATAATATCATAATATGTTCACTGGAAATATAAACACCAACAAACACAATAAACAAAGTCATAAAGTAAAACAAAACAAAACAAAACACATAAATTTAATAATGTGATTTGTAAGACAGGTTCAAATTTTGATGATGAAAATTACTTAAAATTATGATATTGCAATCTAAGGATCTTCAATAAATTGGTGTCCTAGGAGCAGGACTGGAATGGTCCACTAATTAAATAAAATAAAAGTGATTTTTCACAAAGTTGAAAGAGAAAAAGATAATAGTGCAATTTACCAATTGTATTACTTTATCCTACAAATTTGTCTCAAACCTTGGTATCTTATGCCATCTAATAAAAACTAGCAAGGGTCAGAGTTAATGCAAAATAGAGGGTGAACGTTAATTGCAAAATGTGGAAAGTATTGATTATACTTATCATAAAAGCTTGTTTTTATCATAGATATGAGTAAATGTATATATTTAATTAAATCAGAGTTTTAGATAATTGGTGGAATTAATGCAAGTTCTTATAGTAGTTTAAATTTAATATATTTCATGGAATTCTGTAATCATATCATGATTTTCAGGTGTCCCGATGTAATAAGTTAGCAAAGCACTAATTTCAGAAAGAAAAAAATAATATATATGTATGCATAAATATTCATACATATACATATATGCATATTAAATTTACCAAGATTTAAATTTTTCAATTTGAAAATTTACTTGTTATAATCCAATACATTTCATATGGCACCGAGGAAAATATTTACTGTCACTGAACTTACAATATATGTTTGCATATGAGGTGAAATCCATTTGAGTACCTTGGCCATAGAGTCATTCTCTTGTTTGCTTTCTTCCAGGAGCCACCATCAGCGTGATTATTGACATCGATGTTCATGCTTCTGTCATCGTCTCTGCGCTCATTGCCATTCTGTACACCCTGGTGGGTGGTCTCTACTCTGTGGCCTACACGGATGTAGTTCAGCTCTTTTGCATTTTCATAGGACTGGTAAGTGGAGCCATTCACAAATTTTTCTTTCTTCTCTCCCTCTCTCTCTCTCCTCCACTTCCTTCCTTTCCTTTCTTCTTTTTGTGAAAGATAAATGTGGTATTTTATGCTCACTCAGCAAAAACTAATGGAAATGTTATTTTTCATCATGAGTAATTTATAGTGTAATATATTATGAAATATTAAATTTCTTTATGAATAAATTGGATTAAAATCTCTAGTTGTTTTGTTAGATTTTATAAAAAAGATTGTGTTCTCAGTTTAATTCTTAGAAAAGGTATAGATATTCCTTTCCTTTGAGGCTACATTTGATGGAAATTTATGTATGATCTTCCTTGAATTTTGAAGGCAACACACTTTTCTCAAAGTTAAAATCTAACCCTTGGTACTAATCTGTACTACTCTCTTATCCTTCTCTCTCATCAGTATTGGATAATCCATAATACTGCCCATAAGCATAGAAATTCTCTCATTGGAAGTACTGTGGATTTCAATATTAATCATCACTATTGAGGTCTAAAAATAAAGAAAAAGGTGAATTATATAAGGCACTAAAATATTTACTTATTGCTTGTAAGTCTTAGATTAAATTAAGTAATATATTTGTGGTTTGTTAATCAAAAAGTACTATATAATTATGAGACATGAGTATCAGTATTACATGAAAAGCACTTTTATATGTCATGAACACATTTCAGTCAATGTTTAGCCTTTGTAAGCTCACATCTTAAAATGTGGATTGTAATTATACATGTAAACATATCCAACACCTAAGACATATCAGGAGTATAAAAAACATGGTGTGTCCACTCTGTGCTCTATACGGGATTCATACATGTACACTGTCTCAGTTGTGCATCCCTTAGGGGCAACATCCTTTTGCAAAGGCCATGGACAGAGCAAGCTGAGACTTCAGATCGTGTCTCATTTTCCCATGCATTGTCAAAGCACCCTTGATTGTTCTTGTTTTTTTCTCGATTTTTCTCATTATGAGAAGCTTTGCACTCTATTTTAATGTTCATACCAGGCACTTAGAAATGAAATATGAGGAAAGAATTTCATATCCATTTTGTTCATTTTGGTTTTTGCTATCAAGTATCTCTAATAATATACAGAAGGAAAGTTTAAAAAAACTGACTACAATTAGATTTACAGTTTAGCCATAAATTTACATATACTAGCAATGATTATATTCCTCTTTTTCTCCTAGACATTTTATTTGCATTTCATGGAATTTCATTCACTTATATTTTAGTTGAATTCAAAAATATTTAATTTGTTAAAGGACTTCTACTTTTTATTATTTTTAAATTTCCAAAAGCAAGTGGTCAGTGCTGAAATACTGCGTTTTCTGTAGCATCATCATAAATTTCCAGAAAGAAATCTCTGTTAAGGATGCTGGAGATACGGTTAGTTTGATAATGACAGCTCTCATAAATGATGCACTTAGTATTCTAAAAAACACAATTCGAGGGGATGAATCTATTTATTTACAATGTATTGCTTTGCATGAGACCAGAACTTAAAACACATAGATGCATAAATCAAGTGTGCTAGTGTAAAGATTATAAGGCAAATATATGTACGGATAAGTGTTCCAGTGGTTCTCTGCTACAAAATGTAAATGAATTGATAAGGAATCAAGTTCTGTTGGTTACTACTTAAGGACCTTTTGAATTGGCTGAATAAAAGACCAAACATGTTTTTTTTGTTGTTGTTTTCTAAGCTTCAAATTGTGATACATGTGTATATAATTAAATAACCAAATAATTAAATAATACAGTCTTGTTCTATAAACCATTTCCTATTCTCAAATTCTCTAATTCTGTCCATTTTCTCATCATCATTGGAGCTCGACAACTGTAAACTTGAGGTTGATATTTTAGTTTTTCTTCTCTCTGACCCCTTTCTTCTTATTGTAATCTAAAGGCTATTGAATCTCTCCTCATAATCCTATTTAGTACCAATATTTTTCCATGTCCAATATCATTACTTCACTTCAGGCCTTTATCTGGGTTATATAGTGCTACCTTCTGCTCTTCCCGACTCCTCCCTTTTTTCTATACTCACTAATCACATCTATGATACTAAAATGAAGAAGAAATTCTACTAAAATCTTTTTAAAGTTCAGAAGAAATTCCTTGAGCTTCTAGTTGCCTATAAAACAAAATACAAATCTCTTAGCCTACAATTTGAAGCTCTCTCCACATATCTCTCTTTATCTCTCCTGTTTCCCTAAGCCACTACCATACAAGCACACCTTCTCACTCAATAGATGTGTACACATGTGCATGCACACGCATGCATACACACACACACACAAAAACATATATTCTACTCTTTGTCTTGCTTAACCTAGACTATCTGTCTCTTCACTTCCTTCTTCTTCTACCTATTTGTACTGAGTTCACCCTTGAAGGTTTGTTTCATTCCTCAATCAAATTTTTCTTTGTTGCTTTAGTGAATGGATATCTTTTTTTTTTAATTTAACGAAAACAAAAAGTTTATCTATAAATATATATAATGTTCTCAAATTAATGTTTTTTTCCTATAGTTTTCTGATGACTGCTCCTATAGTTGATATGATTGGTATAAACATTGCTAAACACAGAAATAGACAATATGTTGTAACTTTTCTAAATCAGTATTTTATGACATCCCACAGAGAACATGATTCCAGGTTCTTGTCTTCCTAAACAAGAGGAACTACTGAGCTATGTGGTCTATGAGAGGAATAAAAACGAGATGCCTAAATCTTATGTATATTAAACAGTTAAAAATCATTGCCTAATACTCTAATGTCACTCTTTGGTTACAGTGGATCAGCGTCCCTTTTGCACTGTCACATCCTGCAGTTGCAGACATTGGGTTTACTGCCGTGCATGCCAAATACCAAGAGCCTTGGCTGGGGACCATTGAATCATATGAAGTCTACACTTGGCTCGATAGTTTTCTGTTGTTGGTAAGTGATGTATTACTTGAAGAATACAGTCCAATTTTTCCTAAAATCAAATGCATTTTCAAGATTTTAATGTTTATATGTAAAATTTACCTGCTGACTCATGTCCATTTCTGAATTGACTACTTTCTATTGGGAGGACGGAGACACTTGCAGACTATGATAACTGACTGTATCAAAGTGGAGATCAAGGGAGGCCTTAAAAAGATAACTTCCATGAGGTTATGTGTGATGTGTTCAAATTTCTATTGTATAATACATGAAGGAACACCATGCCCTACATCAAGATACCTCTCCCAATCTTAGAACAAAGCCATCTAAAGGTTCTAATTTGTATTTTGAATTAAGGCATTAAAAACCAACTTCCGAAATGAGTAACGCCTTCAGTCTGTAAGTAAATTAGTGGTGTCAGAGGCTTTAAGTGTATAAGATAAGTTGTGAAGGGAGTCCTCAGGAAAGAACACTTGGGCAGTCAGAGGCAGCTTGGGAATGTGCAGAACTTTGGAGGAAAGATACTGGCAGTGAGAAGTGGGAACAGAAGAAATAGAGGCAGATCACAGGTTGAAGGAAGGAGTACCAAAGGAATTCCAGATTTTGCGATTTTGTTAATTAGGGGTATTATGTATAACAATAAAACACTGTTTTTGATTTTAAAGTAAGAAATCGATTATTTTTTATGAAAAATAAAGAGAAATTGTTTATTTTTGTTTCCTCTTTAGAGGGTTCACAATATTTTGTGATTTCACTTTGGCTTTGTGGCACTTTACTGAGCTTTAGCACTAAAATTAGATGTGCCTTTCACTAAAGAATTTCCTGGTAATAAGGCAGGAAAACATAAAACCAAATGTGTCCTGTGTTGGCACAGGGGGCTTCTTTCCCAAGGACTGTTAAGAAATGTATTGGCCACAATTTGTCTTGAATGGTTTATAATTATGAATTCAGTGGAGAAAGAGATTAAATATTACATATATATATAATTATAACTGTATGGCAGGTATATTTATGGTTATGTGGAGGAGACAATGAGACTCAGAAAAGTTAGGCAATTTGTAGATATCACACCATTGTCTGAGCAAGAGATTGAAACAAAGAATGAAGATCCCAAAGATTTTTCTCCTAAATCACACGAGTCCTCAGACTTATTAATCTTCAAAATAAAGCATTGTATCTAATGATAGCTAAAGTTTCTTCTAGCTCAAAAAATTATATGACTAAGTCATGTTCATTCTTCAAATTGTAAAATAAGTTAACATAATAGATATCGAATGAATGAATAAAAAAATAAATTATAGAATAAGACTTAAAATGTTTCAGCAATATTTGGTCTTTGATCTTCCAGTTATCTCTCATCATGACCTCTCAATTATCACGTCCTGGTCATGATATCTTCAACGTATCTTTCAATCCTACCCTGAACCTACCCACTGTCTCTATATTAGCACTAGATTAGGCTGACAGCTTTCCTCACCCAGAGTATTGTGATAGCCCCTCCCTGGCCTGCCTGAAGGCAGTCCACGCACATCTCACTCCTTCAAGCTCATTTTTTCCCCTTTCTATCAGAGCATCTATTTGTCAGTAGAGATCAAATTTTACCCTACTTATAAACTTATAATGACCTAACTGTCCAGGGAGATTGGTATGTAAATTATTATATATTGATTCATATACTCATTGATATTATTCATGTTCATTGACATGGAAGAGGTTAATGATATATTGATTTACAAGTTGTGAAACAAAAGGAAGTTTGGGAAGAATATAGGCTTGAGGCATGGGATAATGAATTTTAGAATTTCTGCTTTTTTTTCTCTTAAACATGTATGATAGCTTTTATAAGAAGAATATTGTTCTGGAAACAATATGTGCCAGACACTCTGATTGTCACAGATGTGATAATACAAGCAAGATAGATATCCCAGAATTCAGAACCCAGTTAGAGAGACAGGCAATTAAAGAATCAACTTCCATACATTGTGATACGGGAAGCTCATTCATCAATTCACTCATTCACATAATATATATGTGTGCATATGTGTGTATGTGTATGTATGTATATATGTATTATGTATATGTGTGTATGTATATTTATCACCAACTCTATTCAAGTCAGGGGAATGTGGCAGTAATCAAGGGAAGGTATTTTCCCAGCCTCCTCTCTAGCCATTTCCACACACCCTGACTTCTAGTTATACCAAATACACAGTGGTCTCATAGCTGTCTCATTTGTTTTTTTCTCTTTCATTCTATCGGATTATCTCCCAGGTACTCTCTTCTCTCTTTGCCTCCATCTAGTGATACCCTTTCAGTACTTAAGGAATGATTCAAAATGTCGTTTCCGTAGGTTTTCCTGATTACTAGGCAGTTGTCCTTCTTGATACCTTTTCACCACCCTCTGTTACACCAAAATAAGTAATTGCTTTTTACTTTTGTTTCTATATGTACCCCTTCATAGGATGCAATAAATTACATTACAGTTCAGTGTCTCCAAACTTTTTTGATTGTATAGTCTCAATATGAATTTTAAGCATACCTTCAATATATGTACATGTAATTAAAAATTGTTTATATTTACTATACTAACACATTATGCAAATAATTTAATAAAAACAACAATATAACATTCAGGTATGAGGTAAAAATGAGCATAAATAAAATTTCTAATATTCTTTTTATTCTCTATGATATTGAGCAGTCTGCACATGCCATTTTGGACAACACTATAATACATTGACTCTCCCAGTGCACAGTGAACACCAGAGCAAGAACCATTCCTTATCTTTGTACTCTGACAGCTATTACATGGCCTGGCACATACTTAGAGTGCAGAAATATTCATTGGGTTGTATTGATTCACATGAAACTCCACACTTTCAAAATCTTAATTTTTCTGAGACATTTTTGTGATGGTTAGGACTTCCAGATGAGAACACCAGGTATCTGGGTAATTGTAATGCAGCTTAAAGTAGGTAAATTAAGGGAAAAAAAATGTCCTATGTAATTACAAAGAACTTGGGGAAATTCTGCACAATTTAAAATATGGCAATAATATAACAATAGCTATTGAGATATGTGGCATGTAGGACCATTTTCTACACTTCTGAATGTGATTGTAAAAAAATCTCATTTAAAAAGTACCTAATATATGCTATTTGTTTCCAATTTATTGAGTCCTTGTGGGTCCCATGCAGATGCTGGGTGGAATCCCATGGCAAGCCTACTTCCAGAGGGTCCTCTCTTCATCCTCAGCCACTTATGCTCAGGTGCTATCCTTCCTGGCAGCTTTTGGATGCCTTGTGATGGCTCTACCAGCCATACTCATTGGGGCCATTGGAGCATCAACAGGTAACTCTTGCAGCTTCATTAATTGACTCACTTAGTTTTCGCCGAAGTTCCAGTTACTATTCATCTGCCCTCCCTCTCCCACTTTTCCTCCCCCTCAAATTTTCCTTGAAGTCTTTTGTATTTTACCCTCCCTAACCTCTGGCCCAGAAAACAACTGATATGTTCTCTGTTACTATAGATTAGTTTTACCTGTTCTCAAATTATATGTACCTGGTTCATGTAGTTATATATATATAACTACATGGGCTCTTTTATGTCCTAGGTTCCTCAGCATAATGTTTTGTATATATATATATACACACACACACACACCTTTGTTATAGCAGTCAACAAATTGTATTATGTATTTGTAGCCTCCAAATATTTTTGATTGTTTATCCCACCAATAAAACATTGTAAGCACCTATCCCCCATGTTAGTATATTTATCAATTGTGTATATATAATCCTGTTAGCAGTGGTTCTCAATCAGGGTGCGCATTAGCATTATCTAGGGAGGGAAAGGACTCTTTAAAATATACCTGTTTCTATTTTACCTCACAGGGGTTTCATTTTAATAATCTAAGATAGAGCCAGAAACAAGTATTTGTTTTTTTTAAAGGCCCCTTGATGAGTCAAAGTGCAGACAGAATTGACAGTCACCGGCTTACACTTGTACCTGCCATTATTATGACCATCTAAGGACCAGTTTAAACTTGAGATTCTTTCTTTACATTTTCAAGTTTGCTAATTAAAAGTTTTCCTTCTTAGATAAATCAATCAATAAATCTGTAGGTAAAGATAAACTAAGGTTTAAGTTACTTAGAGAATAACTTACTCAAAATTGGTAAAAAGAGCATTATAAAGTCCTTATCTCCTAGTTAGCCTCTATCTACAACATTTTTTAAATCTTCAGTTAGACATATTAGTTATTCCTGAACCTTATGTTCTCATGCTATATAGCTTTCAAGAGTGTTTTATGAAAATACATTACATTAACCCAAATTCAAAGGAGTCTTCTAGGTAGAAGTAATTAAAATAGATTAAAGAAGTTTAACTTTCATTCTGTTGTGTTTTGTAAAGATGTCCCAGAATAATACTCACATGGTTACTTTGATTTTCAATTAGTAGAGCTATGTATTGAATTATTTAATTTTTAAAAGAGCAGCTATGGTTTATATTGTGCACTCTCCATTCCAGTTGTCTATCAATGACATAAACACTTAAAAATATGGCTGACAAAGGTGATTGTGTGCCTTTGATTAAAAGATAGCACTTATGTCTCAGTCAAAAAACGGATGTGGCCATTAGTGTATATGTATGTTGTAGGACAACAGACTGAAAAAAAAAAAAAAAGTAGAGCTTATCTTTTTCTTGGATTAAGTGCACTTTCTTGGTTGTTATTTCTGGTACCATAATATCTCAGTTAATACTCTAAAATTGGCTTCATCAAAGCATGGCTTTGAACAGTTTTAATGGAAAATAGGGGAAGAAAAAAATGGAGAGATCCAAGGAAAAGCAGTCCTATTTGATCCTATAACCATGGAATTAAAGAAGTTCAACAAATAAAAAAAGGAGCTATACTAATATACATTGAAAAGTTCTATTGTATTCTTCAGCACATGTCAGTATATTAGTCCTCCTCTTATCCATGGGAGATAATGTCCAAGACCCCTAGTAGATGCTTGAGTTTACAGATAGTAACAAAACTTATACAGTAAGTCCTCACTTAATGTCACACATAGGTTCTGTGACTTTAAACAAAATGATGTATAACAAAACCAGTTTTACCATAGGCTAATTGATATAAACAAGAGTTAATTTCCTACAGCATCTCATCAACATTATCACAAAGTGATGTTGAACAAAATGACATCATTCAAGGACCCTCTATATATACTATGTTTTTTTCGGTACTCACACATCCATGATAGTTTAATTTATAAATCAGGCACAGTGATATTTTAACAATAATTAATAATAAAATAAAGCAATTATAATAATATATTGTCTTAAAAGTTATGTGAATATGGTCTTTCTCAAAATATCTTATTGTACTGTATTCACCCTTCTTGTCATGATTTGTGATGACACAATGTCTATGTGATGAGATGAAATGAGGTGACTGACGTAGGCACTGTGACATAATGTTAAGCTATTATAAGGGTGACTTGAACAGAAGCACTGGGACCTGATAGACTACGGATCTGATAACTGAGATGGCTAAGTGTCTAATGGGCAGGGAGTGAATACAGCATAGATATGCTGGACAAAGGAATGATTCATGTCCTGGGCAGGATGGGGCAGGATGGTGTGAGATTGTATCACATTACTCAGAATGGCATGCGATTTAAAACTTATAAATTGTTTATTTCTAGAATTTTCTATTTTATATTTTCAGACTGTGATTGACTATGAGTAATTGAAACCGCAGAAAGCAAAACCACAGATAAGGGGGTACTACCGTGTAACCAAACAATAAAAGACTTATCTATTCAGAGACAAACTTACATTTCAAGTCCTTTTATTGGAGTCCAAAAAACTGAAAATTTCAGCCTCATACCTGCACTTTTTATTCAGTAAAAAGGGAATGTTCTTTATCTATCCTGTCTCCTATTTCTAGTAAGTGAAAGTTGATTCAAGAAGGAATTTAGGTGGGAGAAAAGTAATGCTGAGAAAGCTCCAAACCAAGTTTACATTGGGAAGAGGAAGGGTGAAAATAGCCCCGCTGTGACTTTATTCACTTACGTATATATAACTAAGGACCAAGGAATGAAACATTGAGTGTCCTCTCATAGCTCCAAATGGTAAAAAAAATCTATGCTTCAGTTTAATAACATTTGTTTTCTATAATTGTGTACAATGCAATGCCACCAATGCAGAAAATCTATAATTGTGTACAATGCAATGCCACCAATGCAGAAGATTAGCAGATGATAGATAGATAGATAGATCAGAGATAGATAAACCACCATATTCTGTATAGAAGATAGATAGATAGATAGATAGATCGATCGATCGATTAGAGATAGATAAACCACCATATTCTGTATAGGTCTTGTGAATAAGACTAAGTGTAACCAAAACCCAGTAGAGGCCAGGACATGTAAAACAACTTCTCTCGACCAGTACATGGATTTCTCATTTAATGAGACTAATTTATACATTCTGAATTTATTTTAAAAACACCTAGTAAATAGGATGGCTCCAACTTGATAAAGAACATATGGCTCTTTGGTTGTTGTTGAATTTTTTATTTCTATTCAACAGACTGGAACCAGACTGCATATGGGATTCCAGATCCCAAGAGTAATGAAAAAGCAGACATGATTTTACCGATTGTTCTGCAATATCTCTGCCCTGTGTACATTTCTTTCTTTGGTCTTGGTGCAGTTTCTGCTGCTGTTATGTCATCAGCAGATTCTTCTATCTTGTCAGCAAGTTCCATGTTTGCTCGGAACATATACCAGCTTTCATTCAGACAAAATGTAAGAACACTTTTTTACGTGTGAAATTATTATTGTTGCTGTCATTATATTTATTGTCTATGTAGTATTATATACTTACTAATATTCCATATTAAAATTTCACCCTACTTTGATTAAGCACACGAGGTTAAATAATAATAAATTTATTTTATGCTGTACATGAATGTTTTTAATGCATGTTATCATTCATGTTAATACTGAAAGGAACAAATTAATGTAACTATTTCCCCAGAGATACAGTTATGGTGCCATAATTTAAACTCTTGTCTTTCTATTGAAAGAGTACTGAAACCTAAAATATGTTAGAAAAACCAAGTTTAATTAATTATGATAAGAAACTTGAGAACCCTAGTGGAAGCAGAACATGAGTAAATTATTTTGTGGGTATTTGTGTTAACCGCTGTCCCGCTCTTCTCTTAACGCTCTAGTCCACCTTTGTCCAAAAATAGTCTCTCAATTTGATTCCTCATTGATTTGGGTAGGTACAGAATCATGCTATTATGGTCACCGAGGGCCCCACAGCCCCTCTCCACCTTCTTCCTTGACTAGGGCTTTGTCTTTTTCTAGGTTTCCTAGGTCACTGTTAATAAAACAGTTTCACTTGTTTTTTTAAGACAGTTAGCCTTAAAGGTGGTAGGGCTTCTATGGAGAGAGGAAGCAAGGATGAGCCATGCCTCCTCATTGCCACATAAGAACTATTGTTAATATATGAAGTAAGTGACCCTTGCCCATTGCGTTTTCATTCCTCTATGATGGCACATTAGTTTGTCTTACCTCTGCTCTGCACATTTAGGGAAAGGCACAAGTGGCCTATGTTTCCTGCATGTGGTACTCAGAAACTCTTACTAAGGCCTACCAGAGAGGCCACCTAGATTGCTTGTTTCATACATCATAGTTTACGTTGGTTTTATCCATAGATTGAGCCATTTGAACCAAGGGAATCTTTTCAACTAACTTTAAGGCACAAAAATGCATCTCATTCCTCACCTAAAAGAGCCAACACATTATGTGAAAAGCTGACACTGTGGCAAATTCTTGCAGGCATCAGACAAGGAAATCGTTTGGGTCATGCGAATCACAGTGTTTGTGTTTGGAGCTTCTGCAACAGCTATGGCCTTGCTAACAAAGACCGTGTATGGGCTCTGGTACCTCAGCTCAGACCTCGTTTACATCATCATCTTTCCGCAGCTGCTTTGTGTGCTCTTCATCAAGGGAACAAATACATATGGAGCTGTGGCAGGTTATGTTTCTGGCCTTTTCCTGAGAATAACTGGAGGGGAGCCATATCTGTACCTTCAGCCCTTGATCTTTTATCCTGGTTATTACTCTGATAAGAATGGTATATATAATCAGAGATTCCCATTTAAAACACTCGCCATGATTGCCTCATTTTTATCCAACATTGGCATCTCTTATCTAGCCAAATACCTATTTGAAAGTGGAAACTTGCCACCAAAATTAGATGTATTTGATGCTGTTATCGCAAGGCACAGTGAAGAAAACATGGATAAGACAATTCTAGTCAGAAACGAAAATATTAAATTAGATGAACTCGCACCCGTGAAGCCTCGACAGAGCCTAACTCTCAGCTCAACTTTCACCAATAAAGAGGCCTTCCTTGGCCTTGACTCCAGTCCAGAAGGGTCTGGAACTGAAGATAATTTATAATAACCCCATCTAAATAAAATACTGCTTTCTCGAACAGAGCTCTGTAGCAGGCTAGTTCTGGAAGGATGGTTTGCAGTATATAAAAAATATATTTAAAAATATAACGTTCTTGAGAACAAAAAATCCATATAAAAGTGCTATTGTACAAATATAAGTCAAGTTAGAAGGAAGCACTTATTAAAGTAACAGCTTTCTTTCTCATCGATATTTTTCACCCTCATTTGATTTTAACTCTAGATACTCTCACCAAATATTCAGAAATGAATAAAACACCACTCAAAGAACAGGAACCAGGATATCTTTATTATAAAAACAAAAAACAACGAAAAAACAGGAAGTGGATATGAAGGAACCAAGGAAATTGGGTCATCTTGATCCAGACCATGTTTGCTAATGCACTGATGAGTCTAGTTTAGTTACTGCCCTAAAGCTATAAGAATAATTCACTGTTATACCAATGAATGGTGCAATGGATTAAAATCATTTCTCCATGTGATGATAAACCCCTTCTTTCATATTCTTAACTATATCGTTTGTTGAATATGCAATTTGTTTTTCTTTTAGTAGTGGCATGTATTATTCTGAGCATAGGGAAAGCAAACACAAAAAATATTGTATAGTGATTGTTTTGTGTGCAAGGTGATAGGAAAATAGAATCCATCTTTCCAGAGGATCCCTGGGCTTCTTTGAATGTATTTACCACTACTATATGCATTGAGAAGAATACCTGGAGCATGGAAAACATGACTATTGGGCAACCTTAAAGCAATAAATCAAAAAGGCCATTAAGTAGAAAGTGACAGGAAGAACAGTAGATTTTTATCTTTATCTAAAGTTTATAAAGTTATGATTCATAATTAAAGAAGTAATGTCTTGGCTTGTTATCTAAATTAGTACTGGAAGTGAAATTGAGCTATGTGTAAAGTGAGATAGCTCTGTAGAACCAATTAAGGTTAATGAGAGACAAACTACACCTCCTGATAGTAAAACTAGAAAAACAAAACCCACTCAGTTTTAGATATTTGTTAATGAGAATGATTTAGAGTTAAAGAGATATTTTGTGGCACTTTTATGTATAAGCCAATCTTAAGTACTGGACAAATCACCACTACAAGAAGTATATAGTGAATTTTTAAATGCAGAAGAAAGCAGAAAGTAAAAATAAGTCCTAAAGGGAAGAAGCCATCAATTTTAACATTTGGTGTCTACATAACTTTCATGAGGTTGGTCATTAAATATTATTTTGCTCCTTTTCTGGAGCTAAAAATATATATGTGTGTATATATGTATGTAATGGTTTGTATTCATTTTAGAATTTTAAATGCTTTCTCACCAGTCATATAATAGAAATAACTGGAGCTGTGTTTACAAAAGCAGAATGAACTAATAAGCTGAAAAATTATCTGAGAATTTGATCCAATACAGAAAGGCAGCCTAAAGCACCTTTTTCCAAAAACATTTCTTTTTTGTGATTCATAGACAAAGTGAAGTTAACTCAGCGTTCAACATTAAGTATAAAAGTTGTGTTCAAGAAGCTAGAATTCCTTTTTTAAAATTGTAATTGTCTAAAAATCATCAAATAATACATCTCTTTGTTATTAAACATAAATTAAATTTACAGGTAATTTTTAAAATATAAAAAAATAATATTACATGATGTAATGTCCCTTATTTTCTTTGCTTTATAAAAAAATGATGGTGAATATGACATTGCATTCAGAATCTTTATAGAACATCACCTATAATTAAATAAAAAGAAAATTCTTTTTATTCATCTATTTGCTCAGAATCTACTCTATGCCCAGTATCCTATGGAGTACTTGGAAGGAGCACATTATTGGAACCAGAAAGTGTGGGCATCCCAGGATTCTCAGACATGGATTGAAAATAGAGCCAGGGGCGAGAAAAACTACATTAAAGAAAAACTACAGAGTTGGAAATATTTGACATGTAAAAGTGATTAATTGATGGGAACTACAGTTCCTGGCAAACATACTACTTTAGATGTGCCATACTTTCCAGCACATTACCTGAATCATTATTTTTACTCATTCCATAGCCATAAGTTTTTATTTCAACCTATTTAGGCATGTGCATCCATAGAAACACATCATCCACATTATAATAGAGTACTAAAGAGAATAATCTCATTACAGACATTATATTTTACAATTTTGTTGAATAACAAATGACCAAACAATCATATTTAAATCCAGTGAAAAAGATACTAAGTGATTTTTTTTTCATTTCATTCATTCTGTAATAAAAAAAGATAAAGGGAAATAATTTATCTTACTCAAAATATTAAAAACTAAATAACAATCCATTTTAGCTAATAAATAATGTTCTATTTTTATTAAAGTTATTTCCTACCTACTCTCAAACTAGAGGTATAAAAAGTTAGTATAAAATCCACCAATAAATGTGCTAAATATTACCAAGGTGATTTTTTAAAAGGACAATAATAATTGAAGATCAAAAGGCATGAAACAATGATTATAGTATCTTTATTTAGGCACAGTCACACAAAAATTTCCCCTCATTTCCAAGGAAGAAACAAAGTTGTGTAATACAGAAGATAATTCTTTATGCTCATCGCTTGCTCTATTTTGACATCATGGGTAGGGTAGACAGCTTTGTGCTCTTTGTGCTCAGTAGACCTAATTTTCAAAAACCCATTCTCAGTGAAAATAAAACAATAGGAACATTTTAGACACTGGCTATATTAACCTTTGGAGGCAATACCTGTGGATAAAGTGTTAAAATGAAACATTTTATTTTCATACTTTTACAATAATTGTAACATGTTTATTGGGTACTTTTAACGTTTTTTCACACATATTTTTCAAAACCTCAAGCTTGTAGCTAGACTGAAAAGTCAAAAAGCTTTCAAATGTTCAGTGTCAAAATCCAACTTCATTGATACACTTATAAGTAATGAATTTTATGTGAATATCAAATGAATGTAAGCTTGAAATAGTGACTAATGTAATGGCTATTAGCTTTTTTACTTGGAAATAATGAATTAGCATTGTATTTTGAACATAAGTTGTGACTTTTTCTTTTTAGCCTTCAAGAAAATTTAATCTGATATAATGTATAATTTATTGTAAGTTTGCTACTGAACAGACAGATACATGTACTGGATCTAAACATATATTTTTGTCTGTCAAAATATATAAATTATGCTTATAATAAGTAAATTTGCAACTATGTATGTAAATGTTTTAAATGTAACAGTATTGTATTAAATAGTGCTGGTGCAATTCAGGATATCGTTGTCTAGTTTTGGCTTTTTTGGGCCCTTTCTTAAAACAAATATAAATGGTGCTTCAAGATAGTTATACAATAGAATTGAAATAAACCATCTCATTACTAGAACATATGCAAATGCCAATGGAAATGTTGCACCTCACACAAATCTTGGGGAATTATATGATAGCATATCTCAAAAAAATGTCAATAAATTTTTTTTGGAATATATAGGCCTTTACTGTACATAGGCCTTTCTTTGAATCAAAGAAGTCAATAGACGTAATATCGATTTGATTAATATCACAAAGATCTGCATGTTAAAAACCAAATAGCTGTCTGATAATTCTTGATTTAAGACAAACAACCAACCACTAAATGACAAACTGGTTCTCATTATATTTCATAACTCTTTACAAACTCTCTCAAGGTGTCTCTAAAAGAGTAATTGTATATGTATATCTATCTATCTATCTATCTATCTATCTATCTATCTATCTATCTATCTATTTATCTATCTACTCAAATGAACTTTGACCTCTTACACCTTAATCATAAACGTTTGTTTCTTTGGATTTATATAGGGAATAAGAGTCTAGAATGAGCTTAAGGGTGACCGAAGGAAAGAATAAGTAGTTATGGCAGAAAACATCACACCAGTTTGTCTGCTGTTATGGACATACTTCTGTAAAGTATGTATTTTTGCTTTAACACAAATTTATACTATTAGGAGCTAGGAAAGAGAATGTATAGAATATGATATTGAAGCCAGTGTATCTTCTCTTCATTTAACCGCTATGTTTAGAGACTTTAATTTGATCATTAGCATTCTCCTAAGACAAATATTCAGAGAGATCCAAGATAAGATAAATGATTATTTCTCATTTTTTATACAATCATTCAAAGAAGAGCTCCAAAACAGTAAAACAGCCAAAATGCTATGTTGGTTTATTAATATTTAATCTAAAGGTAGTTAAAAACATAAACCAGATAGGATTTAAGGCCTAATGATAGAGTTAGAATAATGGGAATTAATGAAAGAAATAATTGAAAGTAGCCTCTGAAGTGCTACAAAATGCAGCCGAAGTGAGCCACAGCACAAGAAAGGCTCTAGGAATCTGACTCGCTGGCTTCAGGCCTGAAAATAGATATAACTGAGAGAATCTAAATTTTGATTACCGTTATTTGGAAACCTATTTGGAGAATTGTAGCATGACTTGATAAGCAGTAGATAAGAGTGGGGATGTAGAGTAAGACCTATATGGCTTCAAATAGTACCTCTGTCTCAAATTGAGGGTCTTGACAGTCATATGATCTTAGCCAAATTGCTTATCTTCAGGGGCCTCAGTTTTCCAAATGAAAATTGTATTTATCTTTTATTAGGCTGAAATTATGTGATACATAAAAGGCTACATGGTAGAACACACTTAAGTGTAAAGATATAGAGCCATAAATATAGCTCTACAACTGGAATAATTATGACAAAACATATCTAGTTATTTGGGAAATCATTTTGACATTGAATCTTGTCATATTCAAGTAGTTTTAAACATGGAGTCCAAATTAAAGAAGAAGAAAGAATAATCATGTTTTAGAGTACTTTGAGCTTTAGATCTTTTTTCCTTTATTTGGCTTTTCATGGACCTAATTTAACAGAATTTTTGTGCTGCTCTGTATGCACCCAAATTGTGGTCCATGTATGAATATAAACTTAACTAGGAGTGGCTAAGCCTATAGAAAAGTTTGCC